CAGTTTTCAATTATTGGAAGGTCGATATGTTTGTTTATATTCAGAAATGTCAATTTCTAGAAATACGGGTTAGAAAATATTTTTCACAATGGTAAGCAAATAATCTTTTTGATTTTCAATTTACAAAAGTTTTAAAAAGTAAAATGTTAAGAATATTTTATGAAAATAAAGATTTTGAATTGTTAAATACGTTATAATTTTTTTGTTTGCACTTTAAAACTCGTAAAAAAAATATAAAATAAATATACAAATAAACAATCATTCCTATTAAAGTAAATTATAAGAAATAAATAAAAATAGGTAAAAACATTTGTAAAAACTTTCTACTTAGAAAAATCGACTAGAATATAATTGATTATTATACATATTTCAGTTGTCTTCATTTGTTTTTTCAGTTCAAAAATGACATCTTGCCAATCAAAATTTCAATATACTTTTTTAATTACAATGCTTTCAGCAGTAAATAAAAATGATTCACGCACAGAAAGTTTTGTTCTTGAATAAATTTCGAACATATATATCTAAAAATAAAAAGTGTGCTTGTAATTTAAAAATATTTATATTTTTATGTTTAAATCGCACGGTTCCGTGGATTCACCCTTTTTCGATTTGTCAATCACTATTTTTCTAAATTTATTCAGGGAAATTAGGAAAAAGTCAGAAAATTTTGTCAAAAGTGCTGAAATAATATTCAATTTTAAGAATTCATAAGAAAATTCTGAATGTTATTCTTAAAAAGATTTCATATATTTCAAACTCTTCCTGTTTTTAACAATAATTAGACTTTACAGATTTAAAATTAATTTTCTTAAATAATTTAATTTTTGAAAAACTATCGAGAAAAAATTATTTTTTATTAATTATTTTGGAATAATTTTTTATTTAAAAATTTAAAAAATAATTGAATTTTATGAAATTTGTATTTAAAATTTTTTTATAAATAATATAAATAAGTAGTAAATGTCACGCCTGCCAAACAAAGTATTTAATTTATTATTATTATTATCATTATTAAAAAAAAATTCGATTATCTTTACAAAATTTCAATAAAAAATTCTTCGAAAAATTTATGAAAAATTACAAAAATGTTATCTTTTGAAATTATTACAGGTGACAGCTAAAAAAAGGCGCGTGTAGTTTCTCCTAGTATTAATAGATAATTAATAATAATGCCTATTAACAATAAAAACTGGTACTTAATCACTTAACTACTTAATCACAAAAAATAATTTAAAAATTTTTAAAAATTTCGTTAAAAATTGAAATTTACAAAATATATCACTGCTTTGCTAACTTTGCATAAAATTTCATATTTGTGCCTTCAAAAAATGAATTTAAAAATGTTCTGATAAAATTCTTTATCAGACTTAAATTTTAAGAAATTTTAATTATTCAATAAATTATTTATTTTTGCATTTAAATTATTGAATTCTCTAATAAAAATTTATTTCAAAATGAATTTCAGTTAAAGTTCTACATAATAATTGAATATTAAAAGCATTAAAGCATGAATTTTAAGAAATAATTAAATTTTAAAATGGTTCCAAATCAAATTCTTTAAAAATTTGTATTTTTCATACTTATAACTAACAATTCTGTAGAATTAATTATTTAAAAAAAGTTTAATTGAATTTTTTTCTGAAATTATTTGAAGTATTTATTTTTTTAATTCGTATTTAGTTGAAGAATTTCTGAATAATTTAAATTTCGTAAACAAATGGATTTTAAAATTCTTAAAGAACTTTTTTCAAAAATTATTAAAAATAATTTATTCTTGTGACCAAGTTAATAAAGGGGAAATCTAGGTAGAACCAATAAAGGGCCATTAGAAAATTTCCACACGGGTTATTTAGAAAAGAAGTAATTGATGTTTTCAAATAATTTTAGAATTAAAGAAATTCGTAAACAAATGTAATGGAACATTTTTTGGAGTATCTAATCATTTTTAGAGAGAATCAGAATATTCTTTAGAGTCCAGGAAGAAGTCAAAATTTTGTTAAGTAATAAAGTTTTTCATATTAAAAAAAGAAAATATTTTACAGGATTTACATTTGTTAATTTTCTAAAATGTTTGTTACAAAATGCTAATTTTTTAGAATCAAAGGAAATAATGAATAATATAATAATATTAATAATTTTTTTTAGATTAATAAAAATATTTTTGAATTATTTGAGAAATAAAAATAATATTATTAAATTAAAAAAATAAAAACAAAATAAAGAAATGTAATATTATCTATCTAAACATATAAAAAACAAAAGCATAAATTTTGTTTAAAAATCGTTATTTTATATTTTATTTCTATTTTCTATCAAAACGAATAAAAAACAAAAGAATAACCATGACTAACTTCAGGTGTGAACAGACTGGACAGAATGAATACGACGATTATTATAATTATATAATAATTAATTTTACATAGCTAAAAAGCGCGCGTGTAGTTTCTCTTTCTAATGTTAATAAATATTTAACAATCATGGCTATTAACAATTCAAATTTTTTAGTAAAAAAGCAAAATTTCATTTCATTTGAAGAATTTCTTTAATAAGATTTAATTTTTGAAACTTCTAAAAATGAATTAATTTCAGTTTCTTTCAGAAATTAATGGAAAAATTTGCATAATTTCTTTCTCTTTATTTAAAATCGAAGAAAAAAATAATTAAATTTGGACTATTTATATATCATCATCAACTTGTTTTTAAAAACTTCTATTTTGTAATTAATTTTGCCAATCATATTGTTTTAACAATATTTGTATTGTATTTTTTTGCATAATTTCTATGTATTTATCACAATTTTTTTAACAAAACCAAAATATTTTTTTTTTAACAAAGCAAATTTTTTCATTCTTTTCTATTTTAAAAAATAAGTGTTGTTAAAAAATTCTGTCTGACAAAACGAATTTTTATATTTTCTTTTATTTATTTCTAAAAAAAAGTCTAAAATAATTTAACAAAATTTTAAAGGTTATTAAAAAAAAATTTTAAAATTTGAGTAATTTCTTAATTTTTTAAACATAATTTTTAATAAAATTTTGATTTTTTTAGAAATAGATGAAAAAAATTTTCATAATTTCTATAAAATGACCAAGAATTTTTTACAACGCCCCTAACAAAAACTACACTTTTAATTGTTATAAACAATATTAATTAACAAATAGTTAGCTTTGATTCCTCTCCACTAAAGAATTTTTTCACATTTTTTTTTTAATTTAAATTTATTTGAAGAATATATTTGTCCTTTTTGTTTAAAAAATATTTTATTTAAATTGTTATAAACAATATTAATTAATATCAAATAGTGAATTTTGCATCCTCTTCACAAAATTTTTTTTTATGTTTACTTTTAAATTTATGTTCGTTCAAAGAATATAAGAATATAAAAAATATAATTTCTTTCCTTAAATAGGCTGTGAAATTTTTTAATATTTGACAAAAATCCAAAAAAGTTATTTTTTAAACAAAAAGCATATAATTAAATTCTTTATAATTTAGGTTCCCTGACTACTAAAAACATCCCCATTAATTTTTAGCAAACCCGTTTTGAGTTAATAATTTTTTCTTAAATGATGCATAAATTTGTTATTATAAAAAATGTATAAAAAGTATAAAAGTGTTTTTGGTTCGTTGTAAACTACAGATTTTTATAAATGTTTTGACGGTTCCAAAAATCTAAAGAAATTCAATTCAAGGTTGACGCGTTTTTTTGACTCTATGATAATAAATGTTTTGTCTCAATTAACTAATTTTTTCTGTAATTTCTTTTTTAAATTTAATGCATATCTCCCATTGTATTATATTAATTTTTATTTTCTAATCATTCTAAAAAATGTTTATTACTTTAAAAATAGAAAATAAAATAAAATAGAAAATCAGCAAACTTTTTTCTCTATTTTTAAAGAAAAATTTGAATATTTTCAAAAAATTGTTATTGAGAAAGAGAAATTAAACAATTTTCTTTTCTTTAAAAAACAATAATATATAATAATATAATCTTGTAATAATAATAATTGACAAATCAAGATCACGCAACTTTTTTCCAATTTTAATACAAAAAAATTAAAGTTTTTAACCAAATTTTGTTTAACAATTAATCAAAATTATAAATTTTTTTCATTTATTTCTGAAAGAATTTCAAAAATTATTTAACGGAATGTTAAATATTATTCAGAAAAAGGTAAACAAATTTGAATAGGGTCAGTTGGGGTAAATAGAAACAGATTTGTTAAGTTTCACCAATAACATAAGTTTTTTCTTTTAAATTGGAATACTTTCGGTTTTCTTGTGTATTGAGTTATTATTTCACTTCCGTGAAACAATTATATGGCGAAGAAAAAAATATGGGTATCATTAAATCGCAATAATCAACTGTTTCTATTTACCTCACTGCGCTTGCATGTCTTTGGCGCAGACAGTCACGCATTTTTATCGCTCTCTTGTTTTTCATTGTTTTCTAAGTGAAATCTTATTTTGTTTTTGGTGAAATTATTATCAAAAAGACTACCGAATTTTATAGTCTATTATTGTTGTATTATTTTGCAATTTGATTAATATTTACGAATTTTATGAGTGTTTAAAAGTTTTTGTGGTTATGCACGTGGTTGAACTATAGAGGATTATACAGTGTGAAACACTCTTTGAGTGAATTGTGTATAGAGATAAGACGATCTATACGTTGTGTGTTCTTCATATCGCATGTTTTGCTTATATTTTTCTCCTCTCCACTGAATTCTAACTATAGTGTAACTTTTTTCTCTTGTGATCATGGCCAGCAGTCTAAAGGAAAAACCTGACTCTTTCCTCGCAATAAAAATATGTGCTCATGGTAAATGTAAAAAACCCATAGGGGATGGTTCTGCTGTAAAGTGTACTGGATGTCAGTCGATCTTTCATGAGGAGTGCTCACTGAAATTAAAAAAGAACTCTGATGGCAGTTTCTCAAAATGTTGTGGTTCGAGGTCGAATTCTCCTATTGATGAGCAAAGGGTTATATCTGTCAATATGACTGATCTTCAAACCACTATTGCTCAGGTTGTTGGCTCTCAAATATCATTAGCTTTGAAAAACCATAGAGCAGATATGAAGGCTGATTTTCAGGAAATTCAATCTTCTGTTATCGCTTTATCTAACAAGGTTGATGACATATCGCATAAATTTACTTCTGTGGAATCTCGTATGGATGTTGTCGAGGATAGGATCAATGGAATTGAAAATCGAGTTCAAACCTTAAGTGATACCACTTCTACTGATATTAATGTAAATAAAGTAACTGACATTTGTGTGGCAGAGTTTTCCCAACGAGAAACACGTAAGAAGAACTTAATTTTATTTAATTTTCCTGAGAATAACTCTGATAATTCTTCAACTGAAAAACCTCAGAATTCTGATAGTGATAAAGTTATTGATCTTTTTAAAATGTTTATTGGAAATCTAGACATTGGTGAAATAATTTGTTTTCGTTTGGGTAAAAAAACACAGGTATTACACCGTCCTTTGAAAATCAAATTTCAAACGGAACAAGTTGCTACTCAGGTGTTCAAGAACTTTATCAAGATGCGCAAGGACATTCAAAAATCAACAAAGATTCCCAATCTCACGTTTACTCCGGATCGTACTCCAATGCAGCAGAATCAATACAAAGAGGTCAGGAAGCAATTGGAGGAACGTGTTTCAAAAGGAGAGAAGAATCTTAAACTTGTCTACCGAAACAACACCCCACTCTTAATTACAATAACACCAAAAGTATAGATTTATATTATCAAAATATTAGAGGTATAAATACCAAACTAAATTTTCTTATTAAATCAGCAGATATTTATAATTATGATATTATTACATTCACCGAAACCTGGTTAAAGCCTGATTTGTCTTCCTCTGAATTTTTTAATCTGGACTTGTTTAATATTTTCAGAAATGACCGTGAGGGTAGATCTGGCGGTGGTGTACTTGTTGCAATTAAGACTAAATTCTCTTGTATAAAAATTGATTTTGATAATTTTATATTTTTAAAAACGATTAATATTGTTGGTGTAAAAATTTATTTTGAAGATATTATTTTGGTTTTGATCGTTGTTTATATACCACCTGCATTACCCGTTGATTTCTATGAAGAATTTTTTAATTTTTTGTTATGTATCAACCAAATATTTTCCCACAAAACTATTATCATTGGGGACTTCAATATACCTAATTATAAACTTTATTGTGACTATAACACTCTAATAGATAAGAAAATTTTGTTACTAAATTCTTTTACCCAAACACTACAACTGAAACAAGTTAACTTTCTTTGTAATTCTTTAAACAGACTTCTGGACTTGGCTTTTGTTAATTTCGATGTATCTATTGACAGATGTCTTGATCCTATCTTTTTTGAAGATCAACATCATCCAACATTGCTTATTTCTTTCGAGTTATTACACACAAAAAGAAAAGAAAATATTCCAATCAATTCTAATTCTAATAGATTCAACTGGAAACTTTGTAATTGGAACTTATTGTATGTTCAACTCTTTGATGTTGATTGGTCAGTACTGAATAATTGCAACAATGTTAATGAATTGTGTGTTGTTTTTTATGAAATATTATGCACTGCAATTTCAGAATCTACTCCGAAGTTTAGTAATGATCTTTTTAGTAATTATCCTGCCTGGTTCACTTCTAATATTGTCAGAGATATTAAATTGAAAGAAAAGTATAGAAGGAAATATATTTCAACTCGTAGTGTATATTATCTAGATCTGTATAGGAAGTTTCGTAGTAGTATTAAAGAGCGAATTAATTCTGCCTATTGTGATTATATAAAGCATGTGGAAGATAATATTACTTTGTCACCGTCTGTGTTTTGGAATCACATAAATCGATTGAAGAGGGAATCTAGAATTCCTGGAATTATGACTCGCGAGAACATGATCCTAGATACTCCGTCTACTATTGTAAATGGTTTTGCTGAATTTTTTAATAGTGTGTATGATGCAAATAATTCTTTACTTACAGCTGCACTTGTAACTAATTTTCAAACATTTTTAGGAGATACATTGAGAATTGATTTTGGATCTGTCAAGAGGGCTTTAACAAAATTACCTAATAAAAGCACTTCAGGTGTTGACCTTATTCCAGCATTTGCTGTGAAGAAGCTCTCGCAAGTTTTAATTGAACCATTATTGATTATTTTTAATCAGGCCTTGTCTAGTGGTATTTTCCCAGAAGTATGGAAAACTACCAAAATTTGTCCTGTCTATAAGAAAGGCGATAAAGATAAGGTTGAAAATTATCGCCCAATTTCCATTATTAATAACTTTTCGAAGATATTTGAAATGTGTATTTGCGAGATTCTTTACAGCAGGGTTGCAAGTGATATATCCATTTATCAGCATGGTTTTGTCTCTAAGAGATCCACTATTACAAATCTGTTATCTTTCACCCAACATATTTATGATCTTTTGAATGATTATTCTCAAATTGATGTTATCTATACTGACCTATCAAAAGCATTTGATAAAGTTGATCATGAAATATTATTACAAAAATTATTATCCCTCGACTTACCACATAAACTAATTCAATTAATTGCTTCTTATTTATCAAATCGACCTAATACGGTTCAGTATAGTGGTTTTGCTTCCGTACCTTTTACACCTTCATCTGGAGTGCCTCAGGGTTCAAATTTGGGACCACTACTATTTTCCATCTATATGAATGACGTCTCTCTTTCTTTAATTTGTCACCATCTTCTTTATGCTGATGATGTCAAGCTATATCTTCCAATATCTAATTTAGATTCATGTGAAGTTTTGCAGGAGAATTTAAAAATATTTAATAATTGGTGTAAAGATAATAAATTTTTATTGAATATTGGAAAATGTAACATAATGACATTTGTGAGGGGGACGTCTTTTATTAACTATGAGTACTCCGTTGATGGTGTTAAACTTGAAAAAGTATATAAAATTAAAGATCTTGGTGTTACTTTTTTGCCTAACTTATCATTCAGGGATCATATTTCGGATGTCGTTAACAGTGCTAGTAGGACACTCGGGTTCTTGAAGAGATCATGCAGGGAATTTACCAACAGGTCGACCCTGAATGTTTTATTTCAATCATATATTGTCTCTAAATTGATGTATGCGTCTGTGGTTTGGTCTCCACATTTCCAAAAATATATTGATTTAATTGAGGATTGTCATAAACAGTTTTTGAAATTTTTAGCGTATAAAGAAGATTCAACTTATCCTCCAAGAGGAACAGAATTCAATGTTCTACAGGCTAGATTTGGAGTGTGGACTCTAGAAAACAGACGTGAATTTGCACACATAATGTTTACATATAAATTAATTAAAGGTCTAATCGATTGTCCTTCTGTATTGGAATTATTATCTTTTCGGGTACCTTAATATACATCGCGTAATCAGCCACCTTTTTACATTCCATCAGTTCTTAATAGATACTCCCCTCTATTTCGAATGTGTACTTACACGAATGGTATGTGTGTTGCGAGTGTTCAAAGGAATATTGACTTGTTTTCTATGTCACTATCGGAGTTTATTTCTGCTACTCACAAATACTGTATGCAAGTTCTGAAGTGATTTCACTGTCTGCGCTTAATTCAGACTTTTGTACTAATTATTTTGTAGCCCTATTATTGGTTTTACTGTTGGGCTTTCTTTCTTAATAAAATAAAAAAATAAAAAAAAATAAAATTTCCCAGCCACACAAAAAAAATAAAATGTCTTGATCTGGGGTCAAGACATATGTATTCTGATGTATTTCGATGCGCTGAATCCAAATCCGCCATCAGAATTTGGCCAATGGGTCCTGGTTTCGCTCTAACCTCAAAAAATACCCTAAAATTGTTAAAATGGTCACTTTTGATTGATCAAAATTGAATTAAATTGAATCTAACCGCATATTGATAATTTTCTCAGATTCTTTAATTTAAATAAACTATTCCATAAGCTTTTAATTGAAAATTCATATAAAACATTAAATATATCGAACCTAACCTCAAAAACACATCTAAGATTCCAAACAAACAAATGATACCATTCACAGCGCAATAAAAAATAGGTAAGCTCATGAAAGTTTCATCTTAAGTGTTTCTATGACTGCTGATTACGAAGCCGGTGTTAGTTTATCAAAATTCAAAATGGCGGATCCAATATGGCGAGCAATATAATTAAAATTTGTTTGGATTGGCTTGAAAATCGTTACTCGGGGGTTTTCGGGGTCGCTGATGACGAATCCCATGTCGGTTTTTAAAAATTCAAAAGTTTTTCGGGACCGTTGATAACGTATCGTATAGAAATTTTTATAATCTTAAAGTCTTACGAATTGTTAGAAAAATTGTTAGAAAACAATTCGTAAGACTTTAAGATTATAAAAATTGATATAGGATTCGTTATGAAAAGTCCCGAAAAACCGCGAGTAATAAATTTAAAAAAATCGTTAAAATTAATAAAGACCGACATATCGGATCCTCCATTTTGAATTTTTAGAAACCGACATGGGATTCGTCATCAGCGACCCCGAAAACCCCCGAGTAAGGATTTTCAAGCCAATCCAAACAAATTTTAATTATATTGTTCGCCATATTGGATCCGACATTTTGAATTTTGATAAACTAACACCAGCTTTGTAATCAGCAGTCATAGAAACACTTAAGTTGAAACTTTCATAAGCTTACCTATTTTTTATTGCGCTGTGTATGGTATAATATGTTTGTTTGGAATCTAAGATGTGTTTTTAAGGTTAGGTTCGATAGATTTAATGTTTTATATGAATTTTCAATTAAAAAGCTTATAGAATAGTTTATTTAAATTAAGGCCATTGGCCAAATTCTGATGGCGGATTCGGATTCAGCGCATCGAAATACATTGGAATACATATGTCTCGACCCCAGATCAAGACACTTTATTTTTTTTTGTGTGGCTGTGTTTTTCAACTTTGCAAAAATTTAGGGGTAAATAGAAACAGTTGATTATTTCTTACAAAATTTGAGACAAAATTAATTTCAAGTATGGAAATGTTAAAAGATACAAAGAATTACATAAAAAATTGTGTTATTTATATAATAATTAAGACTAATAAATAATAATGCATTACATAAGTTTAAAAATAAATCATGCCAAAAGTTGAAACACATTACCCAAATAAAGGTTTGTTCTCTCCTGTTCTCTCTCATTCTTTACCGTTATCTCTTATTCTCTCTTATTATAGTGTTGTATTTGATAGAAATAATTTTCTCATTTATATTTTAAGAAATATTATTGAAATTTCTGCTGTTTCAATTTACCCCGAATTTCCAGTTTTTAGGGGTAAATAGAAACAGTCTCCTACTTTTTATTAAAGTTTCCAAAATGAAAAAAATCAAAGTTGATTTTTGTTATAGTATTAATAAGAGATAATTGTAAATTTGAGTATGAATTTTTATTTTATTTTTTTCCAAATGCGAGCCAAAAAAGTGAAATGGTGTCTTCTTTGACTTTCAATTTTTTATGCAATAGGAAATATTTTTTTATATACTGCTACTAATTGATAAACGGAAAATGAGAAAATAATTAGAACTTGTTGTGGGTGATATAAGCTTCAAGATGTAAAGCCGTATTTATTTTTAAACTTTTCTATTTAACTGAGATAACTACTGTTTCGATTTACCCCTTGTTTCTATTTACCCCATCTGACCCTAATTTCTTTTTTTAGTTTTTCAATCACGATTTTTAAAAAAATTCTGA